GTCCAGTTCTGGGTGCCACACTTCAGGAGGGATGTGGACAGCATTGAGGGGGTCCAGAGGAGGCCACTCGCATGATCAGGGGACAGCAGGGCAGACCCTACGAACAGAGGCTACGGGACCTGAACCTGTTCAGCCTCCCCAAGAGAAGGCTGAGGGGGAGACCTGGTGGTCGTCTATAAATTCAATAGGGGGGACCAGCAGGGTTTGGGAGAGACCTTGTTTCCCCTAGCACTCCCTGTGGTACCAAGGAATAACGGCCACAAGTTTTTAGAGAGTAAGTTTAGACTCGACATCTGAAGGTACTACTTCACAGTCAGGGTGGCTAGGATCTGGAACCAACTTCCAAGGGAAGTGGTGATGGCTCCTACCCTGGGGGTCTTTAAGAGCAGACTTGACGTCTACCTGGCTGGGGTCATTTGAGCCTGGTTTTCTCTCCTGCCCAGGGCAGGGGGTTGGACCTGATGATCTCCAAAGTGGCTTCCGACCCTACTTCTATGAATCTACTGCGAACCAGAACTGCGTCTTAATTGGAAATGTTATAACTCGGAACTGATTTTCTCATAAGAAACAATGTTATAAAAGGGGGATTTGTTTCTGAACCAAGGCCCGATGCCCTATTTTCACCAAAAATACTCCAGAAGTTTGTACTCAATCAATTATAGATGAGTAATATAGCTACATTAATGTATTTCTATTGTAAATAGTGATCATATTGATTTGGAAGGACTTCTTTGAGGTGACATTGCTGGACTTTTTGAAGGGTTGTTAGCTGGAGTCTTCTTAGGAGTCCTGGATGCAGGTTTTTCTGGAGTCTTGACTGCTTTCTTAAAGAAAGTGTCCAAGGAAGTTTGGACAGATATTCTCCAGGGAGATGAGCAATGCAGCAAACTTGTTCGCTGGCGTGGCGTTGTGTGGATCAAGTGTTGTAAAGTTGAAACTGATGTCGTAAAGTTGAAACAGATGTCAATTTAGAAATGTTGTAAGTGTGAAACGTCGTAACTCGAAATGTTGTTAGTCGAGGACTGCCTGTACTTAGCTGTGGCATACCTATGGCAGATGTATGCATCTGAGTGTAACCTGTCACTCACTTAAATGAGCCCCGTATTATTCATATGCATAAGAAATGTTCTTGGTGTAAAGGGATCTCTTAGACCTCATTTTGCAAGTTAATAGGGAGGTGCATGTTACTTTACCAAAACAAGCTTGAGCTTGTTATGAACTCTCCTGTTTTCATTTATTTAACAAAAACTGGCTTTAACCTGTATGCAAAGGATGTGTGATTTGTTTTGCAGATTCCTGGCATCTGTAAATGTTTTCCCACTGTCAAATATCCATACAAGATCATCTCAAGAGCTCATTGGAAAATGGGAGAAGAAGAATAGAATTGTTTATCCTCCACAGTTGCCAGGAGAGCCTCGAAGACCAGCAGTAAGAATTTGTTTGTACTATAATTTCTTAAATACAGGAAATAAAGCACTGTCCTTTTCTGGTTAATTCTCTGGGGCACTCACTTATGATAGCTATATTCAGTGATTAATCTAAGATTGAGAGATACTTGGTATGCTCATAACTGTATAACAAAAGAAATGGGCAGTATTAGTTTTTAGAAATGGGAAAAACCTATTCGATTTTCAAATTGCTGCCTGATACGATCATTTAATGTGCACGTGTTGTGCAAATACAAATCTACAAATTAAATCTTTTTAGAGTTTGCAAGGCTGAATAACTACTAAGCTTGGACTTGACTGAGGAGAAGAATCTAAGCATTTCTTTAATTGCTTCCTTTCTATTCAATCCTTCTAGTTAAGAACATTTTTAAAAATCTGATTTAGTCCTGTCCGGTGCAGAATCAAATACACAATGGAAAATAATCCTCTTTTGTGCTGTGAATTCAAATCATAGACTATTCACTCTCCTTTCCTTCAGTCACCTGAGCTGAAAGTGTAGTTAAACATTAGCAACAAATATGGGTCAATTGATATTGTATGAGAAACTAGAGGAAACGGATGTCGAAAAGCTCTTTGCTGGAAGGAAAGGTGGAACAATTTTTGCACCCTTGAAATTAGTAGTCTGCGCCGTGATATACAGGAAATGATGAAAAGCTTTTTTAATATAGTCTTCCAACTTCAACTTTTCTCTGAGTTGACTGTTTTCTACTTGCATGTGTATGGCATTTTTTTTCTTCACCTGGAAGTAAGAAACTTATTGTTGGCTACTCAGCTTGCTGCTTAGCAAAGCTAAAAAGTAAAACATCTGCATCTCAAAAGAACAGTGATCTTTTTTTATTGTATTTTTTCAAGTCATCTTATTTTACATGTGCTATGTCACCAGTAATAAGAACTTATACATTCAAATACTGCATGTAGTCTGCACTATGCTTCACTGAATAATGAGATGCATATGAAAATGCAATTATTGACTTAACTACGTATTAAGACACATTCTTTTTTCCTTTTTTGAAATGGATATCTTGCCTTTAAAATTTACATTCCTGTTAAATTCTGCTTGTTGTTTCTAGTTCCCGCTGGTACAGTGGTGGTGCTCAATTAGTTCTTTGGAGACAGTTTTTCTTGTCAATCTCTGACTGAAAGACCACTCCATCTCTGAAGACCTAATTAAGTTCAGCATGGCACTAGTTTGTAGCAGCTATCCCAGTGAGTTGATTTGAGATCAAAGTAACTTCTTTAAAGCCTTTGAATGGCAGATGGGTATTAGAACCACAGGAGAGAGGGGAGGAAATAAAGGGGAAGGTTATTTAAAAAAAAAATTGTAAACCAGGCTCTTCAAAGTATTTTAATTTCTGTAATAACTTAATTATTCTCCTGTGTACATGCATTTTGTAGACCATATCAATTGTATGTGACATGGCTGTCCTGCAGTGCTCATGACACAGTAGCAGGAATTATAAGCTTGCCTGGATCTTGAAAGGTGACTTTATTTGCTTCCCAGGGTATTATGAACCTCTCATCTTCTTGCTTTCAAAATGGAATTAGATACCAGATCTTTTTTTCTTAATCTTTTTTTTTTTTTTTCTTGTAGGAAATATACCACTGTCGAAGGGAAATAAAATACAGTAAGGACAAGATGTGGTATTTGGCAACATTGGTAAGAGAAAACACTGACTTTGTACTTTCTTAACAAGTACACTATGCAAAGTGGTTTTTAGTTCCTATTTTTCAAAAAAAAAAATCATTGGCTAAATAAAAGTCTGGTTTGATTCAAATCTGTCCAGCATCTACATAGGGAAGTCCCTGAAAAAATGTTCTTGTGACTTTGTGTGGACTCAGCTGTCTTATGCATGTGAATAAGTTGCAGTTGGACAGAGCCAGCTGACTCCCAGAAGCTTTTCTCAGGCCATATGCCTTTGACACCAATACTCTACATCATTGCCTCTATGTAAGGAATGTGTCTACTGGCTGCTGCTCAGTAGTGGATGATAGGGGAAACTTTCCCTGGGAACAGCAGGGCAAAACTTATGGAAAGTAGGTATCTAATGCTTTGCTAATGAGACTTGTATTGAAGATCTTTCCATTTTAAATGGGCCTAAAATCGTGGAAATTTGTGAAGTACAATATCTATCGAACCAAAATAAGCATCATTCCTGACACTGTGGTCTTAAATGTGTTTCTTCTCTTTGTTTAGAAGGATTTAGTGTTGACTGTTAACTTTTTCTTTTTAATTCTAGATCAAGGGGATGTCCATCGATCAGGCTCTTGCTCAACTAGAATTCAATGACAAAAAGGGAGCAAAGGTGATCAAAGAGGTACATACTGAAATTCTTAACACTTCCTGTCAGATTGTTTTCAGCCATGTTTTTCAGCAGTATCCAGAGACTTTGCATTAAGCCTGTCTGTAACATGTTAAATCAAAGCTTTCTTGGTTTGAGCATTTACTAATGTACTTTTGTTGAGGCTTCCCTAGGCACAAATGGCCTCTGATCACAGCACTTCAGCTCCTCGTAATGACACCTTGCATTACTACAGCCTACTAAATTTCCTACCTGTTTATATGCCTGAAAACACAAAATCCCCATCATTTTCAACTAATATGCAAATAAATTCTTAATTGTAGAAGCTGTAGGTTACCAAAAGGGAGACGCATGGAGTCTTGCCTAGAAAATACTGCCTTTTCACTCAAAATGTTGAAGTTATAGTAATGGGTGACTTAGTTGTTCACTAGGGGTATTAGTTTCTAGTCTAAAAATTACTGAGTAACAGGTATTCCTCACCAACTTACAGTGGTGGACAGCACTGAACAATCTTGCACACCTTCAGCTTGTATCTTCCATCTAGGGCCTGAACCTTGAATAGACTGCATGTGCCTAAAACTGTCACTTGCTGAAAATCCCCACTTATAAAATTTCCCCATACTTAAATGCAGTAAACACATCCCTAGAAGCTGTCTCCATTCATCAAAAAAGATGGTCACTGTCGGCTTGAGCCCCATATGTGATGTTTCTTTAAATAGTTCCTTTCTGGGGGTGGGGAAATGCACTGGAGATAAATTTAGAAAACAAAAAGACTTAAATCTTTTTATTATACTAAATCAGTTAAATATTTTGCTGGATTCATATGCTGTGTCATACTATCATTAAGGTGATTTGTTAATGTTTAATCATCCTGCTAGTAGCAGCAGTTGAACGAAGAATAAAAAAGCAGGGAGTGTTAAATTGAAATGCAAATTGGGACTTCCTATTGACAGTTTCCCTTTTAACTGAAACACTTCTGTGTTTGGTTTGTCAAGACTGAATGTGCATTTGAATCTAGGAGAGCATGTGCACACATGCTCATACACCTTTACGTTTTACAGGTCAAATTTACCACTGGCATAAACAGCTACAGTGTCTTGGATGCCAAAGAAGGTATATATGATTTTGCCAGTGATAATTTTAGCCTTTTGTGTCCATGCAGATGCTGTCTGCCGTATAGAATGGTCTCCCATTTTCAGAGCTTTTCTGAAAGATATGTTAGCTTCCTCTACCTCAGACTGATCCTTCAAGAATCCATTTCTGCATCTGACTTAAATATGGAAGCAATTATGGGGCTCTAGAGAATAGAAATTGTGTTGCTTTAATTCCTGATCAGCATTTCTTTTCTTCCTTTGTTATAGGTTCTTTTAGAAGCTCAAGAACTGGCAGTGAGAAAACACAACGTAGAATTCAAATCAAATTTATACATAGGTAAATTGCTTCTTATTTTTAGTGCATAAAATGTCTCTCTACAATAATGTGAAATGACTTTATTCCTAATAAGATTCCTTGACTTCAGCCTCCTCTGCGTCAGGGTCTGCCAATGAAATTTGTAGTTAATAGCTATTCTTTATCAAAGTGCTAATGTTAATAACTAAGGCACCTTATTCTTAGCTGCTCTGTGAAGACTGAGAATACTGCAGATATCTAGCTTTCAGCCAGCAGTCTGTTCTAATGAGTATTGTTACCAGTACACTCCATTGCAATTGGCAGGGACATCATTTTTAATGAGACATAGATACTGGTCAGAAAGCCAATGGTATTTCCGCTGGCTATATGTAAAGAGAGAGACTTGTTAGGATTAAGAAATGTAAGAGTGGTCAACAAGAAGAAAGCCTGGTATTGTATACTGTATCGGTGCTCTTCTAATGCCACCAGATGGCATTAATGGTGAAGGTGATTGGAAATGTGATCACTATTTATGTGGGATTATTAAAGCTGACTCTTGTTTCTAAATAAGTTGTTTGGAAGATTAAGTTTGCCTTAGAAACATTTGACTTAAAAAGCAGGAAAATGTTGGTAGTAGGCATAATTTTAATTAAAATACTCCCTGAGAAACATCTTTCATCACGCATGGTCATATGCACATATCACATGTTATGTGACAATTACAACAATTGGCTCCATAGAAGAATGCTAGGAAAAGTATGTACTTTTATATAAAATATTGGTCATATTGCCTGATCAGCTGTTCATGCCATCTTTTTCCCTCTTCATTCTGTTCTACTGTTTGCTTGCTTTTTTCCCCACAAGTGCTGTCCTGTTGCCCAGTACTGTTTTCTGTTCGGTCCCTTGGACATTCTGCACACCAAAAAACCTCCCAAAATTCAGTTGCACTTTGAGTCATTGTGTTATATGTGGTGATTGGAATTAGATAGTGTGGGATGGTTGGTAAGATTTTAATTTCTCTGTGAAAATCTAAGTATGGTCTCAGAGTGGAGTTGCTAATAGCGTGCTTTATAGAATGACTGGGTGATGCTGTCATTGACACTGACAACTGAACCTCTATCAAACTTGGGGGGACAGAAAATACTCTGAATGAATTGAACTGCTTCTAGATGCAGTCTTGCTTGCAGTCTTCTCACCTATCAGATTTCTGTCATTACCTTTCACTGCATGGCCATTGCCATAGAAAGTTTCTCTT